GTGCTGATCAGCGGCAAGAGATAACTTTTTGTTAAAGTGTACCTGCTCCCAAAACTTGTTGAGGAGTGGAAATAGCAAATTCTCTCTGAGAGGGGGTCGTACGACCCCGTGGCACCCTCCTGCGGACCCCCATGTATATTTCTATGGTGTTCAATATCTACAGCACTCTTCAAAAAATCCCCTCTACTTATTTTTTGAATGGGTCGATTTAGAAAGTTGAAATCGATGCATGCAATCTGCTTCTCTTGGAAGGCTCTATCAGAGTATGCAGTAAAATATGAAACATTTTGTTTAAAAAAATTGTCAATACTGCCAAAGTTCTTTAAGCCGAATGTTAGAGTAAGATTAATATCACATACTATAACAATTTAATGTTTAGTTGTTGAGTGATAAGCGATTCAATATACGAAAGACCTCAACTTTGACAGCTTCAAATTGAGGTATCGCACACCCCTCATTCCATTAAAAAATGTTGGAGTCTAGTCACCATCTTAAATATTATATAATAATATGTATAATATTTATCACCAAAAAGATCAGGAAATACCACGAACAAATTAAAATAAGCCGTTTTTATTGTGGGGCATTTGTTGTACGTAGTTATTTATCTATGCCGTAGAAGTTTCATAATGTCCTTTGCTTATCGTTAGAAGCTCAAACGTTGTGGGAGAACTGTACCAAGCACTAAGACATTTTATCGCACCATGTTTGTTCAAATAGCGTTAATCTACGCTACGACTCTTTAATTACATTGCAACAAGAAAATATAATAAAGATGAAAGTATTTGTAGGTATATCAAGCTGTCTTCCAAGAATTTTATGAACTCTCGACGACTTTATTGTGCACCGTAAATACAATACAAATAGCAGTGTTATATGTTTGTTATTTAATATTTTTTGAGCGTATTAAAGTTATGATAACGTGGACTTTAATTAAGAGATCGTCCCCACTATTGTCCCTCTTCTGGGTTCTAAAGAAAGCATAATACATAATATCGAGCCAAACATGCCTTTGTAATATGTCGCTCGATATTGAGATGCAGGATTTTCGTAATCTTTATTCAACTATATCTCAAACAGTTTTTGTGATGTCGACACAAAAATTGGAAATGAGGAATGTATTCTATTTTTCGACAAAGTATGTAGAATGCGCCTATAATCTCTCTTATTTCATGCTATAAGGTTATTGCTAGTACAATCCCGTTATTTTTTATTGACTATTTCCCTCGTCTTAATTTCTACCAATCTCAATTGCGCAATTTTAAATTACAAATGGTTTCTAGATGAAAAAATTGTATGACAGCACCTGTCAGCAGTTTTTTCGAGTTTACCTGCGCCAAAACATCACAGCTGATAACAAGTAATTATGGTGTCCCAGTAATCTGCTACTCATGAAATAGTCTTGTCACATACCATTCGGGCATCTAATTTTTACCTGGGAAAAAAATCGGAAAAACAATGCAAAGTAATATATTTTTAACAAAAAGCATTCGTACAGGTGCAAAAATCCTCGTCTTCGACTTGTATTTTTGTTGCTACCAGCACCCATGATTCTTGTTCAATTCACTGATCAACAGCCAAAAAATATCATAAATAAAATCAACAAAATATTACTATTTTTAATGTGCTAAAACCGGAATGAAACTTATTTTTTCAGTATTAGTTCAAGTTTTAGAGATACGGTAATTATATGATTGTGTTCCTGCTGCGACAGTGTTAATATACTGTAATTCACAAGAATGCACGTGCTACATTTTTATATTCGGCAAGGAAAGATGATGTAATCGGCATGATTGTGTTAGGTTATACATACGTGTACATATTGTTTTATATTAGCCATTTTTTCCTCATTTGGCTGACAGCGTTCATGCAAGATTGCAAGATGTCTCGAAAGTGTGTAAACAATCCAGATCAGTTTTGTTACGTGTGTGGTGATGTGACTTTTGCGTCTCAGAGACGGTCTATTACTCCACTAATAACAAAGGCATATCAGCTTTATTTCGGTTGTAAACTAGGTGATCAAGACAAACAGTGGGCACCCCACAGCTGCTGTAATACATGTGCTTCAAGTCTGAGGAGCTGGTTAAATGGCAAAAAACGGTCTATGCGCTTTGCTGTCCCAATGGTTTGGAGAGAGCCTACAAATCATATTAATGATTGTTACTTTTGCATGGTACCTTGTGTTGGACAAGCCACAGGTATGTCCAAGAAAAAAAATCGGTTGTTAACTACCCAAACATACCATCTGCGATGAGACCTGTGCCTCACAGTGACGAAAATCCTATTCAAAACCCCCAGAATCCTACACTTGCGAATCAGAAAACGAATCAGATCATGGCGATCGAGTGATTCGTCAGGAAGAAGATATGCCATCAACGTCAAGAGATCCTGATTTTATACCGAGCACGTCATGTCACCAACCGCACAAAATAACACAGTCAGAATTAAATGATCTTGTAAGAGATTTAGAACTTCCAACATGTAAGGCAGAGTTACTTGGATCAAGACTGCAGCAGTGGAACTTGTTAGAAGACGATGTTTCGGTATGTGTTTTTCGTAAACGCCGCAAAGACTTAGAACCATTTTTCAATATGGAGAATAACTTGGTTTTCTGCAGTAACATTAACGGCTTACTGGCTGCTTTAAATATAAACTATAACCCAGAAGAATGGAAATTGCTTATAGACAGTTCAACATTGAGTTTAAAGGCAGTGTTATTGCATATTGGAAATATTTTACCATCTCTTCCTGTAGGGTATGCAGTTCACATGAAAGAATCATATGACAATATGAAGTACCTATTGACATGCATAAAATACGATGAGCACCAATGGCATATTTGTGACGATTTGAAAGTTGTTGCACTTTTACTTGGGCTGCAGCTAGGCTACACAAAGTTTTGCTGTTTTTTGTGTGAATGGGACAGTTGGACAAAGGCACTTCATTACACCAGACAAAACTGGCCTGTTCGTCAATTCCTAGAGCCAGGTCAAAAAAATGTACAGCATATGCCATTAGTAGATTCGAAAAAAATTGTATTACCACCACTGCATATCAAGTTGGGCCTAATAAAAAACTTTGTCAAGGCATTAGATAGAGATAGGTCAGCTTTTCAATACCTGCGTCAGAAATTTCCAAGACTAAGTGAGGCAAAGGTTAAAGAAGGTATTTTTGTTGGGCCAGAGATTCGAAATATTTTGAAAGATACACAGTTTGAAAACACTTTAACAGGTATTGAAAAAACTGCTTGGAATGATTTCCGTCTGGTGGTCACTAATTTCTTGGGAAATAGAAAAGCTGACAACTATAAAACCCTTGTCAAAAATATGCTGTCATCGTATCAAAAGATGGGCTGTAATATGTCTCTTAAGATACATTTCCTACACTCACACCTGGACTTTTTTCCTGACAATTGCGGAGCCGTTAGTGATGAGCACGGCGAACGTTTTCATCAGGATATTTCAACAATGGAAAAAAGGTACCAGGGAAAGTGGAATCCTTCCATGCTTGCAGATTACTGTTGGACTCTTGGTAGAGATGCTCCAGCAACGATCCATAAAAAAACAGCAAAAAGACAGCGCATATAGTGATTCTTATAAGTATATGAATCTTGTTACTTTTTTAATATATCCTTAAAAATAAAAAGTTTTTTTTCTAAACCGCAACTAATTTTTTTATTTCATTGTCATTTTTGTATTCAGCGCCCCAAAATTAACAAAGAAGTGCACTTTTCCCACAAGATACAATTAAAAAACTAAAATTTGTTGTCCAGTGTTATTACTTAGCAATGTATTTCTTGGATTTTCTTTTTTTTTAAATTAGATGCTCTTATGATATTATTTATGAAGATAATGATAAAGTGACATTTTTAACCTTTAGTCGATTAACCAAACGCGTCCCGAGATATTTGCGTAACAACAACGTCCTGTTTAGTAGTGTACAAGATTGAGAGTTTGGAAGAGCAATGTCTCCAAAATGAAAATTAATAAATGGAAATGCCAGATGTGACCAAATACGAGCTTTATCATTTCTATCAGATTGACAATAGTTCTATCCAAGAAAATGATGACCATTTCTTGTACCTTTGCCAAGAAAAGACGAATATAAAAAATTGCATACCAAAAATGATATAAAACTATGGAAACTTATTTTGTTAAGATTATTTACCTAGGGACATCACAACTGCTGCAAATGTTTTACCCTCAGTCACATACTAATAATACCATTATGTATGTACGTTTAATAAATCATTGCAGTCGGGAGAATTTCCAAATTATTGGAAACGAAAGCTTTTTAACGCCCATTTTCCAGTCAGGAAATAAAAATGTTGTTGAAAACTATCGTGCGGTGTGCATTATTGTCGATAAGCACCATGGTTTTCGTCATGGCAAGCCAAGTTGTACGAACTTGATGTTATGTAGTACCCATTTAACTAATTCAATTAAGCAAGGTCAGCAGGTAGACTGTGTTTATTCGGATTTTTCTAAAGGGTTCGATCAGGTTAACCATTCGATATTATTGTCCAAGCTTTACGACTATGGTCAGCAGGGCCAGCTCTTAAATTGTATAAGTAGTTAATTATCTGATAGATCCCAGATGGTAAGATATGGAGGGTGTACATCTCATAGTATCCGTGTAACTTCTGGAGTCCCGCAGGGTTCCCATTTAGGTCCGTTGTTATTTAACATATTTATTAATGATGTTATGAGAGTATGATGTTAAGATTTTTAGAATTATTGTTAACAAACATGATGCTGAATTGCTGCAAAGAGACTTAGACCATATTTCTCATTGGTGTGGAGTGAATCTACTTCTAAATGAGGCGTAATCTTTCAAAATTGCATTTAGTCGGTCTCGTTCTCTTATTATTTATTCTTATAGTATCAACGATAGATCTTTACAAACTACAGACCAGACATGATGAGTTAATTTATCAAAAATCGACTGCCCTAAACACAATTTTAGGAGTAGTTACCTTGAACCATTTTTGTAATATCAAATTCAGTAGCACTACTACTAATGTTATCTTTTCTGTTATTTCAGGGGTCCTGGACATGACCGCTACGGAGAACACCATCCGTTTCAGTGTCCACACCCTGGACAAAGCCACGAAAGCGAAAGTCACCTTAGAAAATTATTACAGTAATCTGATAGCCCAACACGTCGAGCGAAAACAAAGGTAATTGTTGTTCTATCAGCCGGTACTTGATAATCTTGATATACATGAGCATGGCAAGCAGTGAAGCATTTGTTACTATGTTCGAATAAGGCCTTTGAAGTAGCGTTGTATGTATCTGAAGTCACTTGAAATAGCATAAAAACCTTTGGTCGGCGCGTCCTTTGTAATTTCATGACGTATCATAGGCGTGCGGCATTTATTTAGAACGATAATAATAATGTTTTTATATCACAATAAATGGATTTTACTATCTTTTTATTTTTTTGATTTGGAATAAAAAATTCTTATATTGGGAGTTTAATTTATGTTGACTGAAAGTTAAGAAATGGAAAAATTACAGAATTCCAACGTTTGACATCGGCAAATATTTACATAGCAGGTAGGTATATAAAAAGGTATATAAAGACTTACATTATAGGTATTTATATATCAACCTCGCCTTCGGAGCTGTCGCTAGAGTCATCTTGTAGAGGAATTACAACGGGATTTACAGGAGGCAAAACACAATATTCATTTTCTTTTTCAATAATATGCCTAGAACACTGCTTCCATAGGTCTGTGGCAGCAATATGAGATAATGCATCTCTTATTGTGGCCAATAGCGATTCACTTAATTGAGGGGTCTGATTATGTTTTCTTACTTTTTTTTTAAAGCAGCCCAGACCAACTCAATCGGGTTAAAAATGCAGTAATAGGGAGGTAGACGTAATACTTCATGGCCATTTTGCTGAAGCAGATTGTCAACAACATACTCTTTTTCAAATTTTTGTCTTTTAATAAGATCCAATAATATGGCTTTGGTTGATTTTTGTGGTATTTCCATTCCCTTATCCTTCATAAAATCAATAATGTCTTGTTTTTTTGTGCCTGTATTCGGAATTTTGTTTTTCTGTCGGGAATGGTATGGCGCATTGTCCATAATAATCACTGAATTTGGGGAAATGTTTGGTATTAACTGCTGCTCTATCCACTTTTCAAATAAGTCGGAGGTCATGTCCTCGTGATAGTCGGCACATGATTCTTTGATATTTTTGGCAGATAACAGCAAGGCATTAGGTATAAATCCATTTTCACTGCCAGCATGGAGAATAATAATCCGTTTTCCACGGTTGCATAGTGCATTTAAAATGCACTTGTTGCTGTCGTCAACCCAGCCGTACTGCACAACATCATGGGTATCATACCACGTTTCATCCAGGTAAATCAGAATTCTTTTCTGCTCTCTATAGATTTTAACTTTGTGCAAAAATTCTTGGCGCAATTCAACGATTCGAGACGACTCCATAATCACCATTCTTTTATCTAATTTTTTGTATTGAAAACCACATAGTTTTACAATACAGTGCAGTGAGTCTAAGCATTTGTAATTATAAAAATCTTCAGGATAATCTTTTAATTTATCCCGTATCATTTCCAACGTGGGCACCAAATTTTCTTTATAAAATCCGTATATTATACGACGAATATCTTCCTGAAAACCCACGTCTATTCTTTTTAATTTTTGCCCTATGCGCTTTCTGTGGAAGGAATGGTTGACTACATCTCCCCTTTTTATAACCCGATAAATGGTAGACCGACTGATTTTTGTCAGGATACAAATTCTGTTTAAAATTTGATTTTGCGAGGAATCTGGATTTTCGTTTTTCAGACAATCATACATATTTAGGATTACTCTTTGGGTCTGTTCCTCTAAATCTTTATGAAAGAATTCTGCCTGCACAGGTTCATCAACCATCTCCTCGTGGCTTGGAGCATTTTCCCAAGGTCTCCAAAGAGCCGTATTTAGGACACACAAGAACAATCAACACAACAATTAAATCAACAAGTAAACTGAGTATTCAAAAGTCAAAAACACGCAAACTAATAGAATCTATGAAAAAACACGGACAGACTAAAGAAAACACGTTTATTCACCGCTACACGGCACTGGCTAAACTGTTTCAATTTTCAGTAGCCACCTGCACTTGTTCCGAGCTCTGAAATACACGCTTTCTCATTGGCTATGTCCACGCATAGGCGTGCTTTACTCCACGTGGACCGGTGAAACTGCCTTTGATCTCTTATACGGGGGATATTTGCTGCGAAATTTGGCGATTTTTGCAGCAACAGAGCGTGTTAAATATAGATATATAAAGCGCACCCGGTATTTCACAGTGTTTCAAGTTTCAAGTGACTTCAGATAAAGTATACATGATCGTTCAAAATGTCTGTTATGATATACTGGTTAACAGAGAAAGTAGAGTACCAATTAAATTATTTAAATGAAATTTTACATACAATTAGACAAAAGCAAGAGGAATATGTGATTTTTGAAGTCAAAACATTTACCGTATCGCGACTACCATAATAAGGTCTCGAACCACTTCGATCCCGTATGCATTCGTCGATTCCTCGAGGTATGCTTTTGAGGAAGTTTTATGCTTTCTTGAAAAGTGGTAGGCTAGTGTGCATATAGTTCATTCCGCGCTTGCTACAAGTGAGCACCAAGTGATCGACAACTAGTTCCAAGTTGACGTCTTTGTAGCAGAAAACCCTACATAATAGTATTCATAGCCCTTAGACGTTGTTCATATGGCAAATGTTAAATCTCTGGTGGAATTCGAGTTATTTTACTTTGCAATATTTCAAGTAGTTCGATGTCTTTGATAGAATAGTTACTCCATACGATGAGTGCATGTTCAAGTTTTGATCGAATGTACATCTTGTAAAGACATGTTATTGAGAATCTGAAGGCAAATATCATTTCCACAATACCTAGAAGTAACAAATAAATTAAAGAACTGCTTTCCTTGACTTTCCATACCAAAAGGGTATGTGATATCAAGGAAATGCGTAACATGAAGGTAGTTGTAGAAACGAAAAGGAAAGAAAAACTCATCCCTCAACGAAAAACACATTGAGGATTGACAAAAAAAATGTTACTGCTAAGGGGTCAAATTTTGAGATTTCATCCTCAGGAGCTGGAAAGACAATCAAATTCAGCTGAACAAGAGGAATTATAATCAAGAACCACGAGAAAAGTTGAAGTAATATCATATAGGGCATTCCATTGAAAATAAATAGTAAGCAGCTCAAAATTACAACAACCAATAGCTATACATTATTTCATCCTCAGGAGCTGGAAAGACAATCAAATTCAGCTGAACAAGAGGAATTATAATCAAGAAGCACGAGAAAAGTTGAAGTAATATCATATAGGGCATTCCATTGAAAATAAATAGTAAGCAACTCAAAATTACAACAACCAATAGCTATACATTATTGAATATTTCCAGAAGGGTCTTCTATATAATAATTTAGCCCACAACAATGTGCTTCACACACGATACACTACAGACATAAGTCTACAAATTCCACCACACTTCATTCGTGCACACCGTGAAAAAACATAGGACACAAAATACATAGGGCGTTCCATTGAAAAAGGTATTCCATTGGTATTCAGCCTATTCACCCTATATATACACTAATAAATATTGCCAGAAGGTTCCTACATATGATAAACTATCATATTTTTTTTTCGAAAGGCTTTTGCCCGGTAATAATGTTGCTTTCTCGAGGAAAGTATGCAATGCAGCTGATTAATGGAACACCCTATAACTTTTGTCTCCCATACCTCACAACAATGCGCTTCACACACGATAAACTAAACAAAAAAACGAGATAATTTGCTTGTTTATGACAGATCCGAATATTTTTGCTAAAATAGGTAACAATGCAATGGGGCGATAATAATTAGGCATGTAATCCAGTGACCCTTGTTTGTGGATCGGTATGATCTTAGCTATGTTAAAAATTCAGGAAATACTCCATGATTTATAAATATATTGATTGGTCAGCTTAGTAAATGGTATAATAATATTTTTTATCCATTTTGTGATATTGTTCATATCATATGGATTCTTGCTAGATGCTTACAAGTGACATATGCAACACCCAGAATTATTTATTGAATTTTGATGAAAACTTGTAAACATATTTGCTATCATGGAAGTTTTGCGCTGAATTTAGTTTCTATATCTAACGAAGAATCATCATTAAAAAGCCGCTCAACTTTTTGTAAAAAAATGAACAAACCGAATAAATCTTTTCAGTTAACGGTCTGAAATTGACTGTATGATTATTTTGTGGTACATTGTTAGAGTTGCTGTAAGAGAACGATATACCTAGATGATCAGAAACACCTAAATCAACAGTTTTGGCTGAGTACCTTACATTATCAGGGCAAGCATTACCCCTTGTCTCAATCCAAAAGACTCCATCAAGTTAACTAGTGCAGCTGTATTTATCTCGTGACATCGAAATCACCCGTAATAATTATTTATTGTTTAGTTTCGTTGTAATTTAGTTAAGACTAATTCCATATGATTCCAAAAGTCATGAATGCAACTGTATGGTGATCTGTAAACTGTCTTAATTTTTGTCTTGGAAATATATTGACGATATTTCACAATCTTTCTTCTGGCTACAACTTCTTGCTCCTTAAATTCAGCACATTCAAGTGTAATATTTTATTTGTATTTCATCTGAACTTGGACTGTATGGAATGTAAGAGATGTATAGCTATAATCCTGCGTCTTCAAGTATTAATGAACATTGATTAGCTAACAATATGCGCGACGATGTGGATCGTTCGATGTACGATTTCCAGCGCTAGAACGATATTACAGAATCGCTGCTTACTTTTTTCTGAGAGAGGCTTAATGTGTGCCTATCATAATATTTTATGAACTCTTGGCAGCATTGCGTGGAAAGTGCAGAGTCGACCTACTTGACGCTGTTTTTTAATTCTAATTCCAGGTTAGCGAAACTCGAAGAATCCCTAAAAGATGAGACCTTATCGGAGGAACAGAGACATGAAAAAAGGTTACAGCACGCCCAGAAAGAGACAGAGTTCCTCAGGTTGAAAAGGTCCCGACTGGGTGTTGAAGACTTCGAGCCCCTCAAAGTGATAGGTAGAGGGGCATTCGGAGAGGTTAGATTAGTACAGAAGAAGGACACAGGTCACGTGTATGCTATGAAGATTCTCAGGAAAGCGGATATGTTAGAGAAAGAACAGGTAATGGCTTAGCTTGTCTCTTAATTTTCCACAAATTTCTGTTCGAAGATTGTTATATTTTGACTAGTGTCAAGTGTCAAATACCACTATCTTGGATACGGTCACTGACAGGTTGGTGACTGCTCTGCGAACAGGCTTTTAAAAATCTACGCCCTATAAACACTATCTTATGCCAGTCTCTGTTAACGAATTTTGATATACTATAAACCGCAAATCTTTTACAATCGAAGCATGTACATAATTTAAAAAACTGCAGTGGTGTTTGTGGGGAATGCCCAATTTATCACATGTTATACTTATTTGTTTTCTTAGTTATAAAGAACAATGTGTTTGTTTACTTTTTTATTTTATTTAAATAGGCGTGTCAAACAAATGCTTGATCTAAGATTATATGATTACTGATAGATGCATATTACATATGACATAATGATATGATGATATAAAATTTTATAAAACGGTGCTTAATATAGTGATATTCAGAATAACGAATACATGTTTAACATTATTTTTATTTTATTTACAATAGGTGTTCAAATAGGTTGCCATTATTTTCTAAACATAGCGTGCCAATAAACTTGGTTTTTAATAAAACCCGAAACAAAAAAGTCCAGAGGAGTTAAATCCGGGAAACGCGCTGGCTATGACACTTCACTGGAGGTTCCAATCCACCTTTCGGGAAATCGCTAACAAAGATACTCTCGAACTTGCCTAGAGTTGTGAGCAGAAGCACCGTCTTGTTGAAACCAACAGCTATTAACCTGTGCTAAAGATAACTTATTCAGGCAGGCTTCTAGATCATTGGCAATACCTGAATTTATACAGGTCATATTTATATTTACGCAAAATAAATTCGGCTGTGGATTTGGCTATTTCTACATTTTTCTCAATTTGCCTAGTTGATCTCAGAGTTCTCAGCAACTGCTTGTAAAAGACTATTCTAAGTTTCCACTACAGATTCCTTTTTTTCAAGACGTAACATATACTCTTAACCTAAATCCGCCGCTTAGATAGGTTCGGAAACATAACAGAGATATAACAAAAACCATCGGTCAAAGATCTCTTTTCTTTTTAGTGCCCATATTCCAGTACCAATAAAGGTTATTAAAACATCAAAAAGTTTTAAAAAAGAAATTAAGTCATGGATTATACAAGAACCAAAGAAATCGATCCATAAACTTATAGACGTTAAAATCATTATTGAACTCAAAGCAATTTATGTATGTTTGGATTTAAGGAAGAATATTCTAAGCACAATCAGAATTGTTTAGCCGAATCTTATACCTAGAAAAATATAAATTTAAACACTTAACAAGTTGAACGCCATGGCGGTCCCATGGGACCGCTTGACAACGGGCCTATCACGCCACGGCGGTCCATACGGACCGCTTTGTATTTAATTTATTTTCACGGTAACTCCAGCCAAAGGTTCATATTTAAATTCATTTTAGCGTTAGATATGGACCGCTGTGCCTGGAACGGATTATTCCCTAATGCGAACTTTTTTGTGTATTTTTGTTTTAAATAGAGTTATTCAATTTGTTATTGATTCACATCATTTATTTCCTACTAAATCAACACAACAACATTGAAAAAAATAAACAAGATTCCAGTGAAAATGCATATACAGGGTGACTTCGAAGTTGAGTCATTTATTTTAACAGTGAGTAGATTGATCAAAAGAAATGTTTTTTTCCTTTACCATTTTCCTGGTAAAATTAAAGTAACAAAGTTATAGCCCTTTGGAACTTTGAGTACCGCCCTGTCTCAATAATAATATTATGTGGTCGTGTTTGGCGACAACGGATATAATCCGCCGTATCGGTTCATCGCATCGGAAACAAAAAAGCGAAAGAATTTGGAACGATGTTTTTACAAGTATTTCTTTCATTTGTATACCGTCAGTGTTAGTGAATAGTGGTATCTGTTGCGTGGCTCAAACGAAATAAAAAATGGCACATGTTTATGCGGATCGGTTCCCAATCGAGTGCAACCAACCCCTCGTGCCTTTGTTAATGTAGTACAACGGGTTCGTGAATCAGGTGACTTAAGACCTCACAGGGGACCTCACGATCAAATACAGGTCTGCACTGAAATACTTGTCGGGAGGATACTTTATAAAACAAGGTAAAACATTTTTTTAATTTTTTTTTTATTTTTACACACATATTTTGGTTTATCTTCCTTCTACAATCATTATCTGAAAATTAATGACTCAACTTCAAAGTCACCCTGTATATATATATGAAATACAATTAATTGTTAATTGGGAAATTGGCAAATTTGTAGGCTTAAGTTGACTCTTTTGACGATAAAATCAAGCTTTAGGCATTCTATATGGAGCCTTCATCAGGATTCTGAAAACACAATTGTGATGCTAGCAAAGAATACAGGACAGATTTAAATTGTCAAACAACGTACTCGTCGTTGAGGTTGCAGCCACAAGGTGTTTCAAAACGAACGTAGAGAAGATAGAACTTGTTATAAATATAAAAACAAAAGGACGGAGACATTGGGCCTGTTGATAACGACAGATACCTTCGTTACATGTTAAAAATATCAATACACCCGAACATATTAAAAATTATTAAACATGCGAAGACATTTTAGGGAAACAATCGGAATGCAGTATCTAACCTCCTACTTCCGCTACACATGGAGAGGGGGACAGCACGGAAAGATAATGGGTCGACAGATGACAAGTGATTGACGCGACGGAACGTGAAACTGTATGTGAGAATGTGAGATAGTGATACACACTTGAAAATATGGATTATATGAGTTTATATTAGAGATTGTGAGTGAGAAATTTCAATTACCAGGATAGCAATTGGAAATGTATTCTAATTTTGGGACGATGTTGGTTCGATTTGGATATGTAAAAAGTAGGAATAAATGACACTAAGCTGCTTAACATCAGCCTTTTTATTCATGCAATGATCTGTCATGAAAATGTGGGACATTTCTAAAAATAAACGTTTTTATAGTCTTTTTTCTTTGTCAAGAACTTCGATACTGCCATAATTCATAGAGTGACCTGTGTTGTTAATATGAGATGCCAAAGCACATATCTCTGGATGTAATCTGGCGTCACTTTTGTGTGAAGTTATCCTGCCTTTCAGTGACCTCGAAGTTTGGCCTATATAAACTAAATTACAGTTGTTGCAATTAATGCGAGTTTATTATATAAGTATATTATAAGATAATTTCATTTATTTATGACTTGTTCCGAAGCAGTCAACGCAAAAGTGGGAACACTGACATGGATCGTTCAGAGATTCCGAAGACTAACTGGAGTCTGAAAAATTTTTATTTTATAATGTCGCCGTTGTAATATTTTTCTTGAGCCTTACCGTCACTATACTTCGAAGAAAGGTTTCTTTCAAGTTGAACCAAACGTTTGACACGTTAACTCATTTTATAATTGCACGTAAAAGACACTAACTGGAAGCAACTACTATCAACCAGAGCATCAACGTCTACTCTACCGTAGTGAGGAATAAACTGATTTGTGCAAGTAAAACAGGAACGAACTAGTCAAATCGGACCGCCAGTCGGACCTCCATGGCGTGCTAGGCATACATTTCTCGCTACGCCACGGCGGTCCATTTTGAGAAAACAGCTGAAGAGATCATAAATAAATGAAGCAAACGTATTTCTGCAGACTGTAAGCCATAAGAAGAACAAATGATACAAAATTGGACTTTGGCCAGATGGACATTTTTCTAACATTTTCCTTGACGTTTAACGTGTTAACTACATTGTATTACCTGCATTATTTATCGTTGGTGTACTTACCCATTTGTATTTTTTTTTTCATTCTCATGTGAACTCAACCCAACCAAGTTCAAACTTCTTTGGGTATTTTGTGTTTATTGTAGGATAACGATTTTTTGTACGTGTCTACTTGCCAAGTGTTTTTTCAAATTGTGATGTACTGTCAGTTTTTGATTACGTTGGATGCTGTTTTATGTTCTCTGGTAGCGATTAAACGCTAAAATTCTCACTAATTGTTGCAGGTAGCGCACGTGCGAGCTGAACGTGATATTTTGGTGGAGGCGGACCACCAGTGGGTGGTGAAGATGTACTACAGCTTCCAGGACCCCATCAATCTGTACCTGATCATGGAGTTCCTGCCTGGAGGGGACATGATGACCTTACTGATGAAGAAGGACACCCTCTCTGAAGAGTGCACCCAGTTCTACATCACGGAAACCGCGCTCGCTATAGACTCTATTCATAAGTTAGGATTCATACATAGGTAAGGAGAATTCGTATCAAAATGAGGCCACATAAAATCAATCAAAAAGTGGTATGACAACAATTACTTGAATTTCAATGTTAATAAGACAAAATTTATGACATTTAAATGGTCCTTGATTTCATAAATTTGAATAATCAAATGATACACAAAACAGACACCATCAACTTTGAAGGGCTGGCCATTGATCATAAATTAGATTTTACTAATCCTGTAGATAAATTGCTTTGCCAACTAGCAAATATTTTATTCATTATAAGAACAATTAGTTGCAACGTAGAAAAAAGCACAGCCTTAAGCAGTTGCTTTCCCTCATTTGAAAGTAGATTGAGATATAGCATTCCCTTTTGGTGTATCTGTTCCCAAAATTGTTCAAAAAAGATGCTTATTCTACAAAAACGAACTATTAGATATAAAGCTAAAATCGATCCCACAGCTACATGAAGGACTTTATCTTGAAATAATGACTGTCGTATCAAACATTCATTTTACAAATAGCAACTCTTATTTTTTTAAATAAATCTAAATTTGAACGATTAAATATAAGTTACAGTATTAGACGAAAACAAGATCTCAAATTAGTACTAGCTAAAACAGCAATTCGTGAAAGATTCGATAATTTATAATGGTTTGAAAATTTACATGTGTCCTCCTGATGCTATCAGAGGAATTAACAATTTAAATATATTCCGCCGTTAACTTGAAAACTTTTTAATATATAGACCATATTATACCTTGCGTGAGTTCTACAATTCACCTACTTAAGATCTACTTATGTAATTGTACAAAGGGTACTATAAAAGTTTTGCAATGCAGCTCTATTTATTGACTTCGTACAAAATATTTCTGACATCGATGACAGCTTGTGATGTAAACTGTTACATACTTACAACCTAATCTACAAAGGGTACTATAAAAGTTTTGCCATCCAGCTTTATTTCTTGACTTCGTTTAAAGTAATTTCCACCGCATTCAGTACACTTCTCCATCCGCCAAAACCAGTCCTTAAACCAGCTCTGCCAAACTTCACCTGGGAGTGCGACATATTCGTTGTCCCCAGCCCTCATAAGGTCCTCATCGCTAGAAAAACGTTTTCCTTTCAGCTTCATTTTCACATGCAAAGTCGCAGGGAGCAAGATCTGGACTGTAAGGAGGAGGATTCTCAATAAGTTTCAGACCATTAGTGGTCAAATACTAGGTGCAGGCTTTGACGCGGTGAGCTGGAGCGTTGTTATGGTGGAGGTACCAAGTGTCCATTCTTGACTTTGGCCGCAGATTTTTCAAAGACTCTGTGACTTTAGGCAGGCACTGTTCTGTGTACCACTTTTGTGACTGTCTTCCACAGTCCCGCTCGATTTGAAAAATACAGCTTTCATTTTTTTCTTAACAGATCTTCTGATAGTTGTGTCCTCAACATCATAGACACAAACTTTGTTTTAAGCCTTGGTCGGTACACTGTAATAATAGAGCCAAGTCACCTGTCACGATGCTCTTCACCTACCGAGATTGCCCCTTATCAAACATTTTCAGCATCTTTCGGCACCAAGTCGTACGATGAATATTCTGCTCTACCGTCAGACTATGCGGTACTCTGAGAGAACAAAGTTCCCTTACGTGTGAATGGTAATGCAGAATTTAAAACTGGCCTTACTTCACTACGTGACCACGATACCGTAGTCCACACTTGACGCTGTCAATATGAATGAACAACTAAATCAAAAAACGTGCTGCTGGCGGCTACTATGCACTCATGGACATGTCTCAACATGCAGTAACATTCAGCCTCCTGCGTCCGTTTGTTAAGTCATATTGTAAAACTTTTATAGTACCCCGTATTATAGGATAGTGTTAAGTTAGCTGTGTCACTAAGAATAAATGTGTTCTTCAGACAATAAAGTATACGAGCTCCTTCCCACTTCAGTTGGCCCAACTATTGAAATCTTAGTTTTTTTCTTATCAAACACAAGATCTTTGCTGCCAACTCCACCATGGACGTCCCCCGCAACGCCCAAGTGCCATCAACAAAGCTTCTGGTCCGGACTTGATTCCTGCCATTGTACTGAAGAGGTGCGCACCGGAGCTTGCTCCAGTTCTTTCGCGTCTCTTCCAGATATCTTATGAATCCGGCACCTTCCGAGAAAACTGGAAATTTGCTCATGTCCAACCCATCCCAAAAAAGGGATCTAAGACCTACCCTTACAACCACAGGCCTATGGCTCTGCTTTCTGTTTTAAGTAAGGTGATGGAGAGGTGCATAAATCGCGAGCTTCTGGACTACCTCGAACGTCACGGCTTGATTAGCGACAGGCAGTATGGTTTCCGGCACCAACGATCCACAGGGGACCTCCTAGCTTACGTCACTCAATTGTGGAGTAATCTCATCCAGTCTTATGGTGAGGCTCATGTCGTTGTTCTTGACATCACGAAAGCGTTCGGTCAGCCGTGGCACGCTGCCCTCTTAAGCAAACTTCCATCCTATGGCCTCCCAGAAAAGCTTTGCAGATGGGTGGCTTTATCTCTGGTCGCAAGATATCCGTCGAAATTGACGGGTTCTCCTCTTCATCCCACAACGTCAACGCGGGTGTACGCCAGATATCGGTCTTGACTCCGACACTGTTTCTCTTATCAACGACCTCCTTTCCTGCACGATCAACCCAATCAATCCACAGCTTCGCTGATGACAGCACTCTACATGCAGGAATTCAGAGTGACATGCCAATCTCTGCCGCTGAGTTGGAAAAAAGAAGACTAGCGATGACTTCCTCTCTGACAAGGGGCCTGGAGCCTATCACTGCTTGGGACGCAACAATCTTGTACAGTTGAATGCTTCCAAAACGCAGTACTGTACTTTGACGAACAAATAGCGTCCCTGCGCTCACCCGGTTTCGATGGATGGTCGAGTTCTGCCAAAGAGACATTCCTGTCGGCTGGTCGGAATCCCGATCACCGAGGACCTGATCTGGCCCGAACACATCTCGTCAATAGCAGTAGCTGCTGGGAAAAAGCTAGGCTATTTGTTTAGGGCTAAGAAGTACTTTTCTCCGCATGACCTTCTCACTCTATACAAGGCCCAGATAAGGCCTAGTCTCGAATATTGCTCACACGTTTGGGGTGCTGCCGCCCCGACTACATTATCCATGCTCGATGCTGTCCAGAGGAGGGCGGTCCGACTGATCGATGACTCTTCTCTAACAGACAGTCTCGGGACTCTTTCACACCGGCGGGCTGTCGGCGATCTAGATCTTTTCTACCGTTACACCAACGGGCTTTGCTCCTCAGAGCTGTCTTCCATGATGCCGCCGCGCGATGTGCCTGCCAGACAGACCCGCCTGACTTTGGCGTCTCATCCTAACCGTGTCGAACTTCGTACATCCAGAACCGGCCGATACGACCGCTCCTTTGTCCCGAGGGTGTCGAGATTGTGGAACAATCTACAAGAGGAAGCTTTTCCCAGTTCTATTAACCTTAGGCAGTTCAAAAATCATACTAATGAAATTTCTTTTGGATCATCTTAGCAGCCGCGGTGTTCCGGCATTTAGGCTTCTGCCTGCACGGCTGCTTCGATATATAAAAAAAATAATAAAAATGTACCAGGGTGTTATAGGTTTAAAATATTAACAATGAATATTTTGATAATATATAGTAGAAAACACCAACTTTATCACTCCCTAATCAAATTTTCAGCATAAAAATAACACATGTTGCAATTACAGCATATCAACCTATTTCCATTTCAATGCAAAATAAGTCTATAACGCATAGGTGGCTGTGAAAAATAAAAGCCATGACAATTGCTTTTATTAATCACAGCTGTCTGAATACGTTTAAAATTATTTTGAGTAGTTAAGGTTTTCAAAATGGGTAGAGGAAAGGTTATTAGTGAGAAAATTCGGTCACTGATAATTAAATTTTTTAATTCTGGGAAATCAAACTCAGAAATTGCAACTTTGTTAGACTTATCGTGGTTCAGTGTGAGAAATATTGTTAGAAGATATAACGTAACCGGTTCAGTTAATATTAAGCTACGATATGTGAAATAAAGTAATATCACAAATGCCGACCGACGAGCATTAAGAAGAATAATCGTGAAAAACAGGCGTGTCAATTATTTACAATTAGGTGCTCTGTGGAGTGACGCTGTTGGAAGGAGAATTTCGAGGTCCACAACTCATAGAGAGGCCCACAAACTGGGATTTAGCACTTGCAAGGTAAGTTTTCTTGTAAAAAAAAGTGAAGTAAAAACCCTAAAGTTGCCGAACTTGTTTATAGGCCAAAGAAAAGCCACTATTGACTCCACTGCAAAAGAAAAATCGGCTTAGATGGGCTACTGAACATAGACAATGGACACCTCAACAATGGTGTGCAATACAATGGAGTGATGAGGCCCGATTCTAAGTTTGTGTTGGTGACAGTCGCAGTAGAGTTATTCGCAAAAAAATTGAAGCATTCCATGTTGACTGTCTGAAGAGAAAAGTGAAATTTCCAGCATCCATTATGGTCTGGGGCAGTATGTCATCAAAAGGAGTAGGAAAACTTCATTTTATTGATGGAAATGTGGATACAAACAAATATTTGGCAAGTTTAGAAGAATCGCTTTTACCAGTGATGGAAGAATGTTTGACATCCGGCCAAGATTTTGTGTTTCAGCAAGATGGTGCCGCGTGCCATACCTCAAAAAAGGCTATAAAATGGATGGAAGAAAATAATGTACCAGTTTTGAAATGGGTTTCTAGCAGTCCAGATCTGTCACCTATTGAAACTTTGTGGCACGAGATGAAAAAGGTTCTACGATAACATCCTGCTCGTGCAATCACCGAACTGAGACAAAAGCTTCAAGAAATATGGGATTGTTTTACACCAAAGTTTTGCCAAAACTTGGATAACACTATGCCCCAAAGAATTTCAGCCGTAATAAAAAATAAAGGTGATGTTACCCAATGGTAATCTTTCAATTGTTGCTTTGTTAACTTAGCGCATTTATTCGCACATTGTTTGTTTGTTCAGATGTTCTATTAGTTATAGGTCTAAGTGAGGTCAAATATGTATTTTTTACGACTAGAGTGAATCTAAAATGTTTTTGAGAAAATAAATTGTTTTAGAAGTAAATAGTTTCGTCATGTTTAGTTTATAAAGGCATATTTTGGTACAAATCTTGAAGTGGGCCAACTGAAGTGGGAAGGGGCTCGTATATATATATATATATATATATATATATATATATATATATATGATATACACATTTGTACCTATGTACATGTACAACCGAGCAAATTGGAACCTACTATTGGTTGATTGATTCTTGTTCTCCTGTACCTTACTCAGCATCATTCGCCTCACCATTGATTTATATCAACCCATTTTCCCTCGCGTATATGCGTGGAAAAATTGTCAGCAGTGAGCCTCTCGTCGAGCATCAATTCCAGCTATCTCTGGTAGTCAACCCATTTACCACTTTCGAGTAGATGATTAGGATTATCCTTCTCTGCATTGCAATATACGCAGTTCGCATACTCTCTCTTTCCTGCCTCCTTCAGGAAGCTGTCCTGTGAGGAACTGTGTAGTAATATATCCACACCGATCCTTTGTCAATCCATCTTTGCTATCTGGGAAACTACAACGTGGTGGGCCAAGTATTGTTATTAATAAACAATCGGCAGCCAACCTTCTGCAAATTCAGCGTAGTATGTAAGAAAAACTGATTACACTGTTTGTCCTCCGGACACGTTCTTCTCTGCCAACCGTTTCATTTCCTTGATGCCTGTACATTCACTATACTTGGCAGTGAGACACCTTTCTTCTAACAGATCCACTAGGGGTCTAGGGTTTTGTGTCATGGGCTCTTAGAACATTACCAATAGCTCTATGTTCAGTTAAAAGTTATTTGGTTGGTTTGTGGGTTGTTAGGCCTTCGTAAAACACTTTTATTTGACGTTTCGCCAACACGTCTTTTGGCATCTTCTAAAGGTGATGAAGTAAAAATGTTTTACGGCGGCCTAATAACCCAAAAACCAACCAAATAATATTGAATGGTGGCCGCGAAATCCTTTCGCATTTCAAGAAAAAAAGGTGTCTATTCTTCGGACATTGAAAAAAAAATTTTTTTGTCAACAGACATTTACTTTGTGTTGTCCATGCTAACAGGGAAATTACAACTCCTGTTGTAATATTGTAACACTAGTGAACTAATATGATACTAAAATAAAAGCGAAACTGTATATGGATAATTTTGCATATTGTTTATTGCTTGTATAAAATATATAACACATTTCAAAAAAACTCATTCTCAGTAAGTTTGTTTTTGGTTATAAATTATACACAATTGGTACAATTCTTCGTAAATTGCTAGGTCATTATTTTAATCTACGGCAACCTTATTACTTAAATTATCTTTGTGTTTTTAGAGGTCATCATTGAATATTTATTTTTGTGTATGATGTCTCGACAAAAAATAGGAGCATAACAACTTAATTTGTTTTTATGACATATACAAATTATAATGCATGTTTTGTTGCAGGGATATAAAGCCAGACAATTTATTATTGGATGCAAAAGGACATTTGAAATTGTCTGATTTTGGACTTTGTACAGGATTGAAGAAATCGCATCGAACTGATTTCTATAGGGATTTGAGTCAAGCGAAGCCCTCAGACTTTAGTAAGTATATGCAAATCTTGAAATACAAGGTATGTCTCAAAGGAAACAGGACGAAGAATAAAATGTATTAACATTTTTTGTTTCAAAAAAATTTATTTTATTCAAAATAGTTCCTTCAGAGTTAATACAGCGATTTGCACGGACCAATAGATTTTCGAATGATGACTTTGGCTCATTGACCGGGATGTCATTCAAAATGGTCTTCGATGCCTTTTGGATGGCCACACTGTACCGTATTAGGAGAATATGGGGAGTGATTGATAGTTAAAATGCCATTTTTTGAAAAAAAATTGCACACAAGCGTCGATCTATGAGATGGTGCATTATCCTTCCCCGGTAGAACGAATTCTTTGTGAATAATTTCCTTTGAAGAAACAAATCAACATTGTCTTCACTTTGGACTTTCCCATACGGCATTTTTTCGGATTTGGGTCGCTTGGATGCCTCCATTCGGCACTTTGACGCTCGGTTTCGGGATGCTATTGAAAACACAACGTCACAATGTTGTACAGAAAGTTTTTGTCTGTTTCGTCCTCTTCAATGATTTCTCTCGAATATTGAATTCGAAACAATTTTTGGTCATCCGTGAGCTTGTGTGGAACACAACTTTCTCGAGCCCAAATTCTTGGTCAAAATGCGATGGGATTGAATCTTCAGAAATATTTAATTCCATTTCTGTGTATCTCAATGAAGATCTTGGATCATTTTTGATAAATTCACGCACTTTTTCGACGTTTTCTGGCGTAATCACAAATTTTGGCTGGCCAAGATATTCGCAGTCTTCCAGAGACTCATGACCCTCTGTGAACCGTGTAAACCACTCGCAGACTCGGCTACGAGATAAACAATGATCACGATACACTTGCATCAACATCTGATGAGTTTCGGTAAATTTTTTATCAAGTTTAACTTAGAACTTGATATTGGCTCTTTGTTCGATGCTCATTTTTCGACCGGTGCTAAAAAGGTACTGTCACTTTGAGCCCGATAACTACGCGTGAAGTGGTTCTACTGTCATGAAATTTTGACAGGGCATCAATGAAAGATGCACCTATTCAACCCGATAATAAATGGCGCTACTTGTATCGGATATCTTTCAAAAGACCTGATTACTTTGCGACAGACCTTGGTACATAAATTGTATTCAATTAATTGATTCCAAAAAAGTTCGTATGAATTCATATTAATGATGATGAGAGATTCATTAAGGATAAATCATGAACAGTCCTCAAGTGAGGCTGAGATGAGTTGGAATTATTCCCGTAATATCCTAAATAAAGTTTTTAATGTCAGCATACACTAACTTTTATATATTTTTAGAAATAGAGAGAATTTAAGGAGTAACAGCCTAAAATAAGTTTCTTTTGTTTGTTTATAGTGGAAGAAATAGTAATAAGATATTATTATTTGAGAAAGTTATTAAGCATACTATACTTCGAAGTTGAGTCATTTATTTTAACAGTTAGTAGATCTGATCAAAAGAAATGTTTTTTTCCTTTAACATTTTTCTGGTAAAATTAAAGTAACAAAGTTGTAGCCCTTTAGAAGTTTGAGTACCGCCCTGTCTCAATAATAATATTATGTGCTCGTGTTTGGCAACAACGGATATAATCCGCCTTATCGGTTCATCGCATCGGAAACAAAAAAGCGAAAGAATTTGAAACACTGATCGCGATGTTTTTATTCAGTCAATGTGTCAATCGGTAACGAGTGAGTGAATAGTGGTGTTTGCTGCGTGGCTCAAACGAAATAAAAAATGGCACATGTTTATGCGGATCGGTTTCCCAATCGAGTGCAACCAACCCCTCGTGCCTTTGTTAATGTAGTACAACGGGCTCGTGAATCAGGTGACCTCAGACCTCAGACCTCACAGGGGAGGGCATGCCGATGCTCCAAAACCGCACGATCAAATACAGGTCCGCACTGAAATACTTGTCGGGAGGATACTTTATAAAACAAGGTATACTTTATCTGAAGTCACTTGAAACACTGTGAAATACCGGGTGCGTTTTATACATATATATCTATATTTAACACGCTCTGTTGCTGCAAAAATCGCCAAATTTCGCAGCAAATATCCCCCGTATAAGATCAAAGGCAGTTTCACCGGTCCACGTGGAGTAAAGCACGCCTATGCGTGGACATAGCCAATGAGAAAGCGTGTATTTCAGAGCTCCGAACAAGTGCAGGTGGCTACTGAAAATTGAAACAGTTTAGCCAGTGACGTGTAGCGGTGAATAAACGTGTTTTCTTTAGTCTGTCCGTGTTTTTTTATAGATTTTATTAGTTTGTGTGTTTTTGACTTTTGAATACTCTGTTTACTTGTTGATTTAATTGTTGTGTTGATTGTTCTTGTGTGTCCTAAATATGGCTCTTTGGAGACCTTGGGAAAATGCTACAAGCCACGAGGAGATGGTTGATGAACCTGTGCAGGCAGAATTCTTTCATAAAGATTTAGAAGAACAGACCCAAAGAGTAATCCTAAATATGTATGATTGTCTGAAAAACGAAAATCCAGATTCCTCGCAAAATCAAATTTTAAACAGAATTTGTATCCTGACAAAAATCAGTCGGTCTACCATTTATCGGGTTATAAAAAGGGGAGATGTAGTCAACCATTCCTTCCACAGAAAGCGCATAGGGCAAAAATTAAAAAGAATAGACGTGGGTTTTCAGGAAGATATTCGTCGTATAATATACGGATTTTATGAAGAAAATTTGGTGCCCACGTTGGAAATGATACGGGATAAATTAAAAGATTATCCTGAAGATTTTTATAATTACAAATGCTTAGACTCACTGCACTGTATTGTAAAACTGTGTGGTTTTTAATACAAAAAATTAGATAAAAGAATGGTGATTATGGAGTCGTCTCGAATCGTTGAATTGCGCCAAGAATTTTTGCACAAAGTTAAAATCTATAGAGAGCAGAAAAGAAATCTGATTTACCTGGATGAAACGTGGTATGATACCCATGATGTTGTGCAGTACGGCTGGGTTGACGACAGCAACAAGTGCATTTTAAATGCACCATGCAACCGTGGAAAACGAATCATTATTCTCCATGCTGGTAGTGAAAATAGATTTATACCTAATGCCTTGCTGTTATCTGCCAAAAATATCAAAGAATCATGTGCCGACTATCATGAGGACATGACCTCCGACTTATTTGAAAAGTGGATAGAGCAGCAGTTAATACCAAACATTTCCCCAAATTCAGTGATTATTATGGACAATGCGCCATACCATTCCCAACAGAAAAACAAAATTCCGAATACAGGCACAAAAAAACAAGACATTATTGATTTTATGAAGGATAAGGGAATGGAAATACCACAAAAATCAACCAAAGCCATATTATTGGATCTTATTAAAAGACAAAAATTTGAAAAAGAGTATGTTATTGACAATCTGCTTCAGCAAAATGGCCATGAAGTATTACGTCTACCTCCCTATTACTGCATTTTTAACCCGATTGAGTTGGTCTGGGCTGCTTTAAAAAAAAAAGTAAGAAAACATAATCAGACCCCTCACTTAAGTGAATCGCTATTGGCCACAATAAGAGATGCAGTATCTCATATTGCTGCCACAGACCTATGGAAGCAGTGTTCTAGGCATATTATTGAAAAAGAAAATAAATATTGTGTTTTGCCTCCTGTAAATCCCGTTGTAATTCCTCTACAAGATGACTCTAGCGACAGCTCCGAAGGCGAGGATGATATATAAATACCTATAATGTAAGTCTTTATATACCTTTTTATATACCTACCTGCTATGTAAATATTTGCCTATGTCAAACGTTGGAATTCTGTAATTTTTCCATTTCTTAACTTTCAGTCAACATAAATTAAACTCCCAATATAAGTATTTTTTATCCCAAATCAAAAAAATAAGAAGATAGTAAAATCCATTTCTTGTGATATAAAAACATTATTATTATCGTTCTAAATAAATTACCGCACGCCTATGATACTTCATGAAATTACAAAGGACGCGCCGACCAAAGGTTTTTATGCTATTTCAAGTGACTTCAGATATACTGTAAATTTTTTTTTTATTTTTTTTTATTTTTACACACATATTTTGGTTTATCTTCCATCTACAATCATTATCTGAAAATTAATGACTCAACTTCAAAGTCACCCTGTATATTTAAGTAACAAAAAAGAAAATTATCTTGAAATAATATACCGCAGCATATTTCTCGGAACTCGATTTTTCAAAACGGTACGTAGCATAACTCATACAATTGTCGTTCTTTTAATTCGAATTACAATACCTTTAAAATAACAGTTTGAAGACTGTTTATTAACAAATCATTGTCATTTTCCATCTGAAACTGAACGTTTCAAGACAAATACTCGCCAACCAAACACAAATCGGTATCCCTAGACTTGCAATTTATCAGATACGTGTTGTGAGACAAATTTACCAAAAGTGATCAAAAGAATTCAATGATTTATTTATAAGTAAACAGTAAATTAATTGAATGCTTTTTTCCTGATATACTATAAGATTGTCCATATAGCAGAATTTGACGTTTTCTCATAATTTTTGACTAAATCTCGATTTAGACAAAAACGTTCAATATGTCATTTGTTAAACTCCAATTTATGTAATAGTTATAAGGCTTTGAACCCAAGCACAAGTTGTTAAACTTTTTTGGAACTGCCTGTTTGTTGCACTGCTGGTTATGTAGTACTTCTAGATATTTGAACAATCTTCTTCTTTGGTACATATATCTCCAAGCAAGATAGTTCTAAATTTTTAAAATCCAAGTTTTCGACTAGAGTAATGAAAATAAGTTTGACAAACCATCTGTATTTGGAATCAGAAAAAATTAACTATCATTTTCAGTAAATTATTGAGGGCGTTTCATTTGAAAAGGTCATTCAGCTCTGTCAACATAAATAATATTTTCAAATCTGAAGACTGGGCGATGATATACGATTTCAACGATTTTGATATGACATTCGCATATTTTTATTCTGTGATTTTGCACTAGTTCCAATTAAACTTTCCTGTAAAAAATTGCATATGACCCATAATAACAATTGGGTAAATGCTGATATTAAAAGATCAAGTACATCACTGAGGGAACTTTTCACTTATCTAAATGTTATCCTCAGATGAAACTTTTTTACCTACAGGCAAAAAAACATCATATCAATCTGGGTGAATGAAACAAAAAGGAAATATTACCAAGAAAGGATAAGTAAATTCGAGGATAGGCCGAAAGCAGTATATCTGAGTTGACAAAAGATTCACAAAAAATATTTGTTATTTATATAAATAATATTTCAATTAATATTGACGGTACACTAGTACAAGATCGGTGTCTCAGCCTTCAATAAATACTTTATCAACGAAGCTCAAAGGAAGATTGATAACATGCAAGAAATAAATAGTAATACAAATTCAATGGAAACATACTCCAAATAGGCATTCAATCCATTTTCATTATTTCTGAGACCATTCACGGAGTATGAGTTAGTAGTTTTATTATTGGACAGGCTCAAAAATAAAAAATCAGCTATTGCAGATGAAATACCGGTTTTCTTATACAAAAAATCTTCCTCAGATAATGGAACCACTTATTACATGCCTCATAAATATGTCTTTTCTATCTGGCAAATTCCGTAGCAAAATAGAAACAGGTAAAGTGATTCCACTGCATAAGAAAAAAAGTGAACGTTGATGAAGAATTACAGAGCAGTAACTATGCCCGAAAGTTTGTCTATGGCATTCGAATATTCCTTTTTTAAATCGTTTTATGAATTTTTTGAGAAACGGCAAGGCACTTACCAGTAGACAACATGGTTACCAGCAAGGAATATCGACAAATTCAGCATTGGCTGCCTTTTATATAGAACTAATTGAGTATGTTGACTCAGGTGAATGTCCTGCAGCTACTTTTGAGTGGGGAAAATGCCCCAGTCAAATGTCTGCTTAATCATCAGATATTACTCAATACATAGAATATTATGATATAAGAAAAGTTGCTCAAAAATGTATAACCTCTTTCCTTGAGGATCGGAGGCAATATGTATATATCAATTTTGAATCATGTATTCTAACATGAAGTCTAACGTCATGCCAATTTAGAAAGGTGTACCACAGGGTACCTACTAGACTGGGACCGATTCTCTTCCTCTAACATGTCAATCAGATCGCAGATTTTTTCCCACCATTATATATACAGCTTATGTGGATGACATATCTTTGCTTATTTCATCGAAAGAGGATGCTGTCCTCCAAGAAAAATGCATAGAGTCCTTAATGAAACTGATTAACTTTTTGCACTCACGTGACTTTTTATTAACACCGAGAAAAACAGAAGTACTCAGATTCCACAATTACCAGTGCAAGTTAGATCAATTCAGTATAAATGTCAATAATTCAATATTAGAGAGCCAAAAAGATGCAAAATTCCTGGGAGTCTTTATTGATGAGTTTTTGAGTTGGACGAGTCACTGTTAGCAGCTGTGTAAATCATTAACCTCTTGTGTATGCTTTTAGAAATTTGGGATTTGTTTTAAGCTGTCCTTCGTTATGGCATTTGCTTATCGGGTAGCTCGACCCACTCAAATGAAGTGTTTGTATCTCAAAAAAGATCATAAAAAGCAATGTATGTAACCATCCCTAGAGTAGAGAGCTGTTTAAACCTGTTGGGGTACTGACATTGACTTCTTTGTATATACTAGAAATAGCCACTTATGTAATTTCGAATAGGCACACTTTTTTGTAAATAGTGATATTCAAACGCACAATACCAGAATAAAAAGTCAATTACGTTTACTTATTTTTAACCATAAATGCAGCCAAGTCTCACCTAAATACTTGGGATTAAAAATGTTCAATAATCTACCAATTTTCAATAAAGCCAGAAACAAACGGGAGATCCTTCAAACGAAATTTGAGAATGTTTCTGATCGATCAGTGTTTTTATCGCGTTGAAGAGTTTTTCTCTTGTAGGTATTTTTAACGTCTTAATTGTGGAAAATTCGTTTTTATTGTCAGCTGTTTTATTTCATTTCACTGTTGTTTTGCTGTTATTTCGTCACTAGTTTTAAGGTTTATTGGCAATTCCTATATGTTTTATTGAAAAAATCAACAGGAAAATATTTGAAGAATTTTGAAAAGGTCAATGACTTGTAAGTAAATAACAACCTTGTTTCCAGTAATAACCTCGAGTCCAATGGACAGCAAACGCCGTGCAGAAAGTTGGAAGAAGAACCGTCGACAGTTAGCGTACAGCACGGTAGGGACGCCTGACTACATTGCCCCCGAGGTATTCTTGCAAACGGGATATGGTCCTGCCTGCGACTGGTGGTCCCTGGGTGTCATCATGTACGAAATGCTGATCGGGTACCCTCCCTTCTGTTCGGAGAACCCGCAGGATACTTACAGGAAGGTCATGAATTGGAGGGAGACGCTGGTTTTTCCCGCTGAAGTGCCCATTTCCGAAGAGGCCAAAGATACAATTATCAAGTAAGTTCATACCTCCCATCAAGGACGGATTTATGAGTCTAAGGGGCCAGCGGTGGTCATAGCATTCATGTGAATTTTAGGGGACCGCGGTGGTCACAGCATTCATACTTAATCACTTAAGGAGCGCTTATGAGAACATATGCTTTTGTGTCATTGTGTCAATTGCAAAACGGGGGGTGGGATATGTATGGGAAGGGGATGTAGGTCTCACGTTCCAGGTCTATCAAGGTAAATTCCACTTTTTACACTTAAAATACAGCAATATATTCTTGGAAAAGAAACGGTCGAATTGGGAGGGGGCTCTGAATCTGCAAACCGGCTTATATACATTCCTATGTATGCATATGTACAGAAGATCATATATAGATCATATTGGGGCTACATTATAGAGCCTAAGTGACATTGACATTAATTCGCTTTTGTCAAGGGTTCTGGCAAAATAACTAAACTTTTCTCAGCTCAGTCCCAAAAACCAGGTCTTCCACCGCAGGTAGACTAACTGGCGGTCCACTCGATGTAGTTCAAATACGCGTTGAACGCGCATGTCACGTAATGATCTTGGTTCTCGACATATTCAAACATCTTTACAATCATCCAATAATGGCGTATCAGCTCATCTTCCAACTTCAATTGAGACTGCTCTAAAAATTCGGCAAAGAATTCAAGGGTTTATTGAGGGCGTATTCTTGTAGTATTTATCTGTATTTTGAATGATGATTTCTGAAAAGCCGCTTCGTTATGGGGATGCTGGCCTGAAAGGAGAACTCTGATATACAAGGTTGTCGCAAAGTAAACAGGGTAAAGAAAAAAATGAACAAACAGTTTTTGTTTCGGAAAATCGTATTTACTTTATTCAAAATAGTCTCCGTCAGAGTTAATAAATTGACTTGCATGGTCATAAAGATTTTCGAATGATGATTTTAGCTCATTGACCGGGATGTCCTCAAAATGATCGTTGACGCCAGTTGGATGGCCTCTACGTCGTCATACCTCTGTCCCTTCATGACCAAATGCAGTTTACCGAACAGAATGTGACTATTTTCTGTGCCTTATCAGGAGAATATGTGGAGTGGTTAACGGTTAAAATGCATTTTTTAGATTCTGCTGTGAGGCAGATCGACGTTTAGGATCTCAAAAAGGACTGGAAGACTTGAAGCTGAATCAATTTTTCCGGGGAGTGGACTGGGAGCACATCAGAGAGCGACCGGCAGCTATACCAGTCGAAGTTAGATCTATAGATGATACGTCAAACTTTGACGATTTCCCTGATGTGAAATTAGAAATTCGTAAGTATCTGATTTGGGTAAATTTACACTGGTCAGAAATTATATTGTTTTGATTCACTGCTGTCCATATGAACTTCTTTTTTATGTATAACTTTTGAATTTTCATGGTGTTTGTCTCAAATTCGAAAACTGTGCTCATGTGTGAGAAGTAAAAATACCAAACCTGAATATTCTGAGGCATAATAATAAGCAGATCAAAATATTGGACAACAAATTTTATGTCGGAGATCCTAAATCCTAAATCAACAATGACGTCCCAAACGAAAGCATCGATAAAATATAATGAAACATTTCCACTGACATCATTAGAAACTGGAAAAAACGTACTGGATCACCGCAAAGTTGATTATAGTCATGCACACCTTATCTCTTTTCATTTTTTTTTTCTAATTAGCCATCGTACCAGTGGATTTTCCATAAGTAACAACTGCTTTGTTACCGAACTCATCAGATCTAATTCGAGAAAATAACTGAAACGCTCGTCGCTCGAGCGATTCCAATATGAACGCGACCTTATGGAATCGGTCGGATTTCGGGTTGCGCGCAGCTGTATCTTTACTTGCGTCGCTGTCAGTGTTGTCTTTCGCTCTTTCCAGAAATATGTTCGAAAATATCGCAACACAAAACATGAAATACAAAGTGTGAACAAGGGTTTCAGAACACAAAACAATAGTATGTTAAATAAACATGAAGTAAATAACTAAGTCTAGAGTTCTGTCACATATACTAAGTGACATATAAAATGCAATACCCAGAATTATTTATTGAATTTTAATAAAAACTTGTCAACATATTTGCTACCATGGAAGTATACGCTGATAAAATGTTGAAGGCATTCCGAGCAGTGCTTTTTTGTAAAGGTTTTTTTTGTCATATCAGGATCCGAACAATATGAACATGTTAACTTGATAGTCAGTGATTTTTCTCTGTTGGTTCCATTTGTTTCATTGCATTATCATGCCTAGAGTTCGTAGTCGTGCTAATTTCACTCGACTTTCCGAATTTGCCAGGAGTCGGATAATCGGGTTACGTGAAGACGGATTTTCTTTTAGAGAAATCGCTAATCGGGTGAATCGAAACGAAGCTACTCTAATGAGATGTTGTCGAGCATGGTTCCAAGAAGGCCGAAATCGACGAGTTAGAGGTAGTGGACGTCAAAGACAGACTACAGAGCGACAGGATCGTTATTTGAGGCAACTAGCACTCGGAGAACCAGAGTTTTGATGCTGTCGGAAGGAGAATAACAATGAAGACAGTTTATCACCCATGGAACTCAGTCGTGTTCAGCGATGAGTCCAGATTTTGTTTGGGCACACATGATGGCCGTGGGAGGAGACGTGTTGAAAGACCAATATTCCATCGAACGGCATGTTCATCGCACTGTGGGTGTTCGAATACGGGGTGCCATTATCCCGGATTTCAGCTTGCTAACTTGACCCGTTCCAAAAATAAGTAGGTGGCGGGGGGCTTTTTGAAAATAACTTCAATAGATATAGGTCAAATTCATGGCTATCAATTTTGATCCAGATTTCAGTCACAGTATGGACAATATTATGAGAATCCATATCTGGTGACTGCATAATTATGTTGATTTGTTGTTCAGCTAACCTTTTAAATAATTTATCCGTTCTTTCAGCTGCAGCGCCTATGCCTCAAGATGGCGAGATAAATTATAAAGATTGGGTGTTCATCAACTACACGTTCAAGAGGTTTGAAGGTCTGACGCAGAGAGGGACTCCAACCAAAAAATAATAGTCATATTCTTCTGTGTCTGTTCATTTAGCTTTAACTGGAGAAAATACGAATAAATCCAGCCTTGTAGTCATACCATTTTATCTAGGAGGAATGTGAACGTAGCAAAAAGTTTCTGTGTTCGGACGATGATAATGAAATATTTACGGACATGTAATAGATCAAATATATTTACATTCTTTTACACAAAAATAGCATGTCTTTGATTTCAAAAAATCTAACAACTAGCTAGCTAACTTTTCTGAACAACCATAAGATGTTGGAAAATGTAATTGTCGGGAAATCAAATTAAATTCATAAGAAAATATGAGCTGTGAATTTGTTGAAATACACATAACAGTTTCTCTTCGCTTAACGTATTGTGTATATTTTATACTTTTGTAGTGACTTTCAGATGAAAAAATTAGGACAAAGTTAGGATATGTGAATCTAAATAGAACAAAATTGAATATTGCTGTTATAAGATTACCTATACCGCCAATATTGTAATTGTGATGCTTTTCCTGTTTTAAATCTCATTAGAATGTAACAAGCGCCTGCCGTTTTTAGTACATAAAAGTGTGGTCTCAAACTTCAGTAATCAAAGGAATGGTAGTCGAATCTCATTAAGGTTTTTATAACATGCTGGCCTTCGTACAAATTTATACTTTTCCAAACCTGCGTATTCACCAAAGGCAAGTCAGCTTTTCAATTGCAAGTTAACGTTCAGTTATTAGAATTTGTTTTTTCGAGTAATTTCAAAGTTGTAGTTAACGCCATCAAATCGACACTAGTTTTTTTTATATTTGCAGTACTTGCAGATGTCATTGTCTCTAAATAAAGGTAACTGCATTTAAACATTAGTCGAATATATAATTACAATTAATCTGAGATTGAAAAAACATAGTCACAGCTCATATAATATGCCATGAATCATTTGTATCTGCTCGTTTCTTTTTGATTCACTTAGCAAATCACATTTGCTACAAAACTACTACTACAGTGTTTTCTGATGATAATCTTTTTATGCACGTTTAAAATTGTTGCTTCCACATTTCGTCCTAGATAGGCTCTCTTCTTTGAGCTGACAAGTGACAACTTGAGATTGAATTGAAAAGGGAATACAAGAGACGCTTATTTTTAGAAAATGAGGGATATTAGGGAACATTTTGTTTATACGGATACTATAGTTGTCTCCTAAGACTATTATTGTAACGACTTGTCAGCGTTTTCTAAAAATAAGTAATCCAAATTTCGTGTATTATAGTTCTGAAAGTTTTCTATGTTGTTTTGAGAGCAAAACTATTGTAAATGTTGTGTTTAGCGTGGATATACAGGGTGTTTCATGAATGTATTTTGCAGCTGTCAGACATTCTTGATATAATAACATCTGTTTTGGACATGTGGCAGCACATGTCAGAATGTTGCCATCGTCAGTTATACTCAATACATACAGATCCGCAGACAGTTTATTTATAAAATAAATTCATGTGAGCTCAAAGACTAGAGCTCCCTTGTTTATACTACCAGTGGTAATAAACATTCAACAGTGCTTTTTTATTGGGTACACATTCTATGTAGCGTTTTTGGCAATACCACAACCCAATACATTTTTAAACCTATCAACTAAGAACAAGATTGGTACAAATATGGAGCAAAGTGCTATGAATCACCTTGTGTAAAACAGACGTTTTGTGTCTGAATGTTGGGAAATTAATTTGTGTAAATATAGATGCTTATTTGCTCTCCTATGCGTAATTTCATATGTTTTTTGTATCAGTATTTTGGGAAATATCGCCTTCAAAGGTGTGGTATATCTGCAAACAAACACTTTTCTAAGGATTCTCAAGCAACTAAAATCACTTTGATATCCTCGCTAAAGAATTATGTATTATTCTTGAGATTTTATCCAAATATAAAAAATGAGCCGGCCTGTTCGATTCACAAGTATTTCCTAACATTGTGGACCGAGACGTAGCGTTGCCGTTCATAAAATCCTTTCCAAACATAATATAGTGTATTATTGCATGGATAAATAACTAATAGTTGTAAGCAAAATGAAAGCAGATAGTGATTGTAATTTTGTACTGAATTTTATTTTTGTGATAGGGTATGATTATGACACATAAATATAGTAATATTTCGTGTACATTAGGTCAGTACAAAATTAATATTATAGTGCTGTCAGTTTGATTTTTGGTATCATATTCTTGCAACTCTCGTGAATTTGGATGTACATTGCTTATAAATAGAAAATTCTTTGAGGAACTTCCTGGATGAATTACTGATAAGTTTGATCTACTTCACTTCTTCTTCAACTTTATAGTATGAAGCCAGAACAGTCCATATGTGGACACAATTTACGCCTTGTTTCAAAATTCGAGATCGTACAGGGTGCGGCAGCATAACTTCCTTTTTGCAAAACTTACTAATGAATTAGAAAGTGTTTAAAATAAAATCAGATAGGCGGTGTCCCCCAGTCTCCATACACTGAGTAAACCGATTTGTGGCGTTTGCCATGACTCTTGACAGCATAGCAGGCAATTTCTTCCTGGATGTTGGTCTTCAAATCTTTTCGGTTCACGTAAAAACGGTATTTCAAAAAAAAAACAGAAAAAACTAAGTAGCCAAATCGGGAGAGCGGGCCGGTAACTCCAAATCGCTTTGGGAAGTGTTCCCTCAAAACAGCCATTGATGCTCTTGAAGTGTGTGCCGTTATACCTCCTAACTCATCTAGCTGAGGAAATGATCCTGTAACATGTTTATATACTGGCCCGAAATCACTGTCACTGCGACTTCATAATTCCCAAAGAATCAGGAATCAATAAATTGCACACCACACTGTGAATAGGTGAATTCAAAGGCATTTCTCGAGGATTGCTGCCAGCTCAGTACCGCATATTTTGTTTGTTAACGGATCCACACAATTAAAAAACAATAGCGTCATCGGGAAGCGAGAATTGAAGTTGGCTGCACAATTGCCATCTTGTCAGGATGGAAATGAAGGTCATCGTGAAGAAGTCCCATCACAGAACTATCGGAAATCTAAGGGCAGACACAAACATGTTTGCGCGCAGAACGTCGTGGTGATCGCAACATTGAAGCTCTGACTGCCTCAATGTTTTCAGGTGATCTACTTGGCGGAAGGACTCCAGTTCTTCGTCTTATCACACTTGCAGTTTGTTTGAACATATAGTGACGCACATAACAATTGATGTCTAGTCAGAAACAGGGGCCAACGGAGCAAAATTGAAGCGATTCCAAAAGGCGCTCTGGGTTGCGATCGCAGAAGATCTGCTCGAAAAGTACGTATTTCAACGGCAACAGCACGCTCCTCACTGATCCAACGCGTGATTACGACTGAACTGTGTCAGGATCAAATAGAGAACCAGACCACTAGTGATCCTCTACTACATCAACCGACTAAATTTTAAATAAGGAAGTTATGCTGCCGCACCTTTAGTCTAATCATATTAGCAAATTTCCCCGGAATAATTGTAAAGTCTGGTTTTACTGGTGCAAGTTGTTCAAGGTTTAAAACATGGACGCATAAAATGAGTACACCAATTTTTGTGGGAAAACTTTTTATTTGACAAGAAAGAATGAGAAAACGTGTTTTTGGGATTCAATCGAAAGTGTTGACAGAAAGCAAAAAACTTTTCCTATAAGATTTTTAGATATTTATGAGACCTGCAAAATGAGACCACACGTAAAAGGATCCGACTATGTTATGGCCGAAATACGAGGCAAAATTAATGTTTTGGCACGTGTTGGTAATGCGACGATAATTTCACGCAACTATTTGAAATTCACCAAATCCGTAGGATTCATACTTCTAAATAACAACAAAATTGGATTATATTGGTCAAGTAGTTTTTTGAGAATTTCTAGTTGTGTATACCAAAACAACTGTTTTCCGGCTATCACTACTAGTTTATTGAGCAATATACAGGGTTCGTTCAAAGAGCATTTAATAGCAAAATACTCGTGTTTACCTTGCCGATATGAATCACAAACCATTCCGAAAGATAAATGTTATTTTTATGCGAAAAACAAAGGTTACGTTTTTATCTCCTAAACATATTCAAACATTTCGTTTTTGTTAGTAATTGAACAAACGCGCTACGATATTCGAAAAACATATGTTACTATTCACATTTTAAAACAAAGCGGATGACACTATCATCTTTTGTTACGAATTACTCACATATTCGAAATGTTTGAATTTGTTTAGAAGAATAAACGTAACCTATCATTTTTTGCATAAAAATAACATTTAACCTCCAGGATGGTTTGCGATTCATATCGACAAAGTGAACTAGTTGTATTTTGCTATTATTAAATGCCTTTTGAACTAACCCTGTATATTGCTTAATAAACTAGTAGTGATGGCCGCAATACAGGTGTTGTGGGATAAACAATTAGAAATTTTCAAAAACTACTTGACCAATCTACTCCAATTTCATTGTGGTTATTTAGAAGTATGAATCCTACGAATCTACAGAATTTTAAATATCTGCGAGAAACCATCGTCGCATTACCAACAAGTGCAAAAAACCCGCAGTTTGCCTCGGTTTTCGGCCATAACTTTTTTGCTATTAGTCGTATCTTTTTACGTATGGTCTCATTTTGTGGGTCTCATAAATACCTAAAAAACATATGGAGTTTTTTCGTTCCTGCCAACACTTTCGATTGAGTCCCAAAAAACACGTTTTCTCATTCTTTGTTGTCGAATAAAAAGTATTACCAGAAAAATTTGTGTACCCATTTTATGCGTTTTGAATACCCCCTTGAACAACTTGTAGCAATAAAACCAGACTTTACAATTATTTTGCAAACCAGGGGTATTTTCGTCTAGAATAATTAAACTACTTGTACTTGTGATTTGTAGTATTTCGGAAGTAACCAAGGCACAGAACCCTAGTGTACTGAAATTTGGACTTTATTTTATCTCCATAACTCTCTATATGTTCTGGTACAATTATGACTAAAAAATTATGGATTTTGTTATTAGTGCTAACGTGTGATCGTCTTTTGTAGTAGTAATTTTTCGAGAACGTCGATTTATGTTATTTGGAAATCATCAACCTTCTGGTAGTTATTTACATTGGCGATGCCCTTTGGAAAATACAAATTCAAGTTATACTACCGATTGATGAAAAACATTTGGAAGAAGTTTTTGTTTAGCAGTTACATTTAAAATGATTTATTCAGTCACTAAAATTATTTCTAGATTATTCTTGATCTTGGTGAGAAAGTAACCTTTAGAACAACCGTGCAACATCCACTGTTAGTTACAACACTATAATCTAATTTTGGTGTATATGTTATTTTTTGTTCGTTGTTATGAAGTGATACTTTTATTATTATTGTTTTAACTTATACAACTATTTTCCCAAGAATGTCGGGAAATTCCTTTTTGTATTAGCTTAAAGATGGTAAATCACTTAAATTTATAGCACCATGTCGCTTGCTTCTGTCAGTGAGATCATAACAAAAATACCTCTTTTTGTAATTTCTTAACTTGGTTGGTAACGTATGTTGTACATACATATTTGTCATCCACTTGTTATAGCATTCCCAACGAGTGATTTTGCTGTTAGCCCCGGTTTGCCCTTATCAGCATCTTAGCATCTTAGATGCTGACTAAAGCCGAAGTGATTCACATGGTTGTCTGGGGACGCGGCCATCGAAAATTTTCCACATTTGCCAGAAACTCTTTATGACAAAAATAGGGTGCAAACAACCTTACCAACTACGATATTTTACGGGACAATAAGAATGTCCTGCTTAAAATGCCATACGGCTGAGTATATGAGGTTGGATTTTTTAGGGCTGGTCATATCAAAATTTGACTGTCAAACAGTCTTATTAAGTTAGTAATTTTTGAGATGAATGTAGTGTTCACGTAGCTCTCTACACATTGTAAAACTGTAATATTGTATTAGAATTTATTTAGAATTAATTTTGTTATTTATTACGTTTGTATTTTATATTTGGTCTCGCTAACAGGACTTGTATATAAATATTTACTTCCAGAACTGTGTATAACAAATTTTAAGAAAGTAAACTTTTCTGTGCTTAACACAGTTCTTTGATTCCACACTCCTTTAATCACTAAGATACATTATGTTTTTGATGACAGTATACAGGGCCGGCTCAAAAGTTTTCGGCTCCCAAGGCGATTGTATGTAGGTGACTCTACCCTTCCTATCCCGCCTTTAGCATTTTCGAAGGCTGATTGCACCAAAGTATGCATACATTTGAAATCCCCGTTAAAGTCTACTTTCGAAGTATGTATGTTATCACAAAAAATCTACTTGTCCCACTTTTCGCCTGTCCTGCTCTTATCGGCGCCTCAAGGGTCGCCGCTCACGCATTCGTGTAGTTCGGGTAGGGTGTTTTCAAAGTTGTGTCATTTATTTTAACTGCTTGTAGAACTCGTCAAAAGGAGTTGATATATCAAAAATCACCTATATAAAAGTTGCATAATACATAGAAGAAACAGCAAACGATTAAAAATTTAAAAAAAACAAGAATGTTATTACACAGATTTTTTGATATTCTCGATCACTGCTTTGTAAAATGTTTGCTTTTTTGTTTACTACTCTAAATTTAGCAAACTTTTTGTATTATTGTATGGTTTTCAGTACGAGTCTTTGGTTCGATCAGCGGTATTAGGCCCAATTTCACCAACATTAATATTATGGACCAATGGGAAAATTCCTTATCAAGTGATTTCTATTGAAATATTGAATAAAATCGTGAAAATTCGACTATATTATAAACAAGACCAACATGATGTTTTTGTACAGAAAAAACAGGACAACTTTCTTGTATTTTGATATATGTTATAGGATTACATTTAACAATCCGTTATCCCCCTCAGCGAATGTGAATGCGGCAAATAATAGGTCGATTTTCTAGCTGTTAAATTTGGCAGCAGATTTGGACGTTTGTTAATGCATGGCACTCTCGAATTTACCAACTTCAATATACTGAAAGTTGTCATTACATACCTGTTGAATAGTGTGGATTTGTCTGTATTTTGCAAAAAAATAGAATATAAAATACAATTTACGTCATAATATTTCATTTATTAATTTATGGCTTAATGAATTTCTTCCAAGCAATAAAAACATTATATCCTCTCCATCCTAAAACAGATAATATGTGTAAGACGTGTCAATCCCTACATCACCCTGATGCATAATGCAATTACTATGGACATAGACAAAAAATTATGAAACATGTTTCACAAATAATATCTTTTAAGTCCAAAAATCAAAAAAACTAGTAATGCTTTTCGTGAAAATTTACTAGGTATCATGATTATAAGCATCTTTGGTAGATTGTTCGATCCGGAATGGGAAAGATCTCCTATTTATGAAAATATTTTTGGTATCATATAACCGTTGCAATCAGTGCACAAACACTCTGACATATGATTTATAGCATAACTCGGTGCCCTATCAATACAAATTTATCATACAGGTCGCCTAGCCGTGGGGATGCTGTGGTCGGGATGAATATCACGGCAGCAACTGATGATTTGGGCATGTCTGGTAACGTATGAAGTGAAACTCGCTAACTTCACAAATTTGAAGATTTTGTACATTTTCTTTGAAAATGATGAAAGATATGTCTGATTTGGCAGGGTAATGTCGCAGCCAAATGGCAGTCACTCTTATAGCATGAAATTAAACCTTCAGAGTATATGTTTTGTGACTGGTACCAAGAGTTGACAGATCCCACACATGTGTCACTCCTTGAAATGCAATATAATCAGCTGTATTTAAATAATGTCTAATATAAATATAACCTAGAATGTTTACTCAAGAAAAATATGAGAAATTTGTAGTTTTTTTTGCAGGTTTTAGGTTTGCTGGTAGCTTTAAGGCATTATTTGGTAATTTCTTAATCGCTGTGAATATAGTGTGGATGTTCATTTCCTGAACAACGAAAAATATTTAACTTTATGGATGTATGGATATCAAAAAACCTGAATGGTTTTGTGGGCATATCAATCTAAGGTACCATAATGGTTCTGATAAACGGCAAGTAGATGAATGAATGTTTGGAAACGAGCAATATCTTTTGGTAGAGTCTGTCATCAAGTAGGTGCTTAATGGGTATCTCCAAGAGGTTTATATAATGTCTGATAGTTAGGCATTGTTTTCTCTTTTTTGCTATTTCATTATTCTACCAATACTTTGCTTCCCTTAGTTTGGTGGTGTTGTCACATGACTTTATGACTACATCCTCCCGCAGTTGAACTTTGCTATTGTAACCATCCAGTTTGGTGTTCCATAGGGCTAACTGCAGATTTCCGGCGACTGATTTTAATTTAGCTCATACATTTATCTTCCATCGGATCTTATGTGTCTGTGGTCTTTCATATTTGATAGTTGTTATTTGAAAAATAATAAAATATGGTCGCTCAGGTTTTAAACATCGAATACTTTCCTTTTTTTGATTTTACCACTCGCTATGGAAAGTAATGTCGATATAGGATGTTTGGCTTCCTCTAACAAAGATTGGCTCGAAATCATTGTTTGCTATGACAAGGCCCCTTGCTACGAGAATTTCTTCAAGGAGCTCTCTTTTTTTGTCGGTAATGCGGGGCCCCAAGATGTCGACTTCGAATTGAAATTTCCCCCAATCAAGTACTGCTTTATACTGTGGTGCATAAAAGTTTCGAATTCATTTAGTCTTTCTGAGTAAGCATCAATTATTATGTTTGGAGTAATACATATAGAGCACAGCTCTATTTTTTCCATCTCTATCTAAATCATACCTTTTTTTGCTTTGCTTAGGGCTTAGTACTTTTCTCCTCATGACCTCCTCACTATGTACAATACCCAGATAATACGTAGCCTCAAGTACTGTTCACATGTTTGTGATGCTGCCGCCCCGTCTGCATGATCCATATTCGATGCTGATCAGAGGAGGGCTGTTCGATTGATCGATGACACTTCTGTAACGGACAGTTCCGGGACCTTTTCGCTGAGACGGACCATCCGCAACGTGGGTCTCTTCTACCGCTCTGTCAACCTGTTTTGCTCCTCAGAGCTGTCGACCATGATGCAGCCGCGCGATGTGCATGCCAGACTAGCCCACCTGATTTCGGCCTTCAATCCTAACCGCATGGAACTTTGTACATCCAGAAGTCGCAGATAGGGTTCCTTTGTCGTTAGAAGTAGAGAGAGACAGAAACTTCCCAACAAGCAATATTAAAATAACGGGTGTAAGTTGTATTAACGTGCCATATATAGCCTCTCATACACAACTGCCAACCTCACCTTCTCGGTGCTTCACCCCCTTATTCTTTATTTGACGAGGAAATGGCGACCTGTAACCAACCCCGATGGCGGGAATCATCCTGCGAGAGGATTTTGACAGCGTCTGTTCCAAAGCGGGCGGCTGTCAAGTGGTACTCCAGAGCAAAAAGAAAAATCAAAGTCAATGTAAAAAGCGCTAGGGTTTGCTCGAAGCACTTTAGTGAAAGTGCCTATAAGGTCAATTTGAAACATACCCTTATGGGTTATACCCCTAAAGGCTGCTACACACAGTGCCGGCAGCAGGGCCGCCGGGCTAGCCGCCGGCTAAGCCTCCGTACACCCGGCGGCATACAAAGCCGCCGGCCTTGCCGCGCAAAGGAGCCGCCGGCATTGCCGCCGGGGTGTGCCGGCGGGTTACGCGACTTGCCGGCGTCACTTCGTTTCTGGCATTCGAGCGGTAGTGTTGTGCGGTTTGTGTATTTAAACAAATTAAAGTGTCGTCTAATTGGGACGACGAAGCTGTGCTGCTCTTAATTGAAAAATTTCATGAAAATGATATATTATGGAATCCCAGAAATGTAGACTATAAGAATAGGAACAAACGCATGGACGCATTGAACATAATTGCAAGTGTATTTGACATTGATAAAGGCGAAGTAGAGAGAAAGTTAAAAAATGTAACCTCTCATTATTTTCGGGAAAAAAAGAATTTAGAACAGTTGCACAAATCTGGTGCAGGCATAGACGATGTATAGAAATCCAAAAAACATGCTATTGCGCAAACGCTGACACCCCACATCATCTTTTTTATGCTCTTCTATCATTACAGTACCGTTCCGCCATTTTCTATTTTGTAAACTTGGGTGCAACCAAAACCTTCTCGCCCATTTGTATTTTTTTCTTATTAAAATAAAAATTACAACTGCGGCGGCTGTGCTGATGATTTCCTTATTCATGTTAACCAACCAACCATAAAATATGCACTTCACTAGCGTTCTATGTGACTGTCACAACCGGAATGATGCTTGGCGGCTTTGCGCGGCTTGTGCCGGCGGCTTGTATTGCCGCTCGGCATAAACCCGGCGGCATTGCCGCCGGCACTGTGTGTAGTAGCTTTAAAAGATATCGTGCTCTAAAAGATGATGCCATTCCTATGGAAAATTTACCCATGTATCTATCATCACCTGGACCATCTACATCTGTTGATGGGGAAAAGCAGAAAAGTGCTTACGAAAAAAGGCAAAGGGCTCAACTTATCCCCTAGAGTTTAAGTATAGAATAAGGTCATATATTTTGGGGCGAAACGAAGGCGCATACTCAGCGTAGAGTGATACTACGGACATTCGACTAACCGCATCATTAACGAATAAACTGAATGCACCTGAAGTATCAGCTGACTATAATGAGGACGTTTTAGTGGAAGAAATAGATGAGCTCGAGTATGACGGGCTGAAAAATTTGGCCGGCTTTGTTTGCCATAAATTGCAGGATGAGAGGTTGAAAAGTTCCTCAAATGAAATTTATTCCTGGATATACCATCTTAGTGAGAGTGGATTATCAAAACCTTCCACAGCTTGGATGAAACAAATTGAGAAGCTTAATAAGGTATTTCCTACATTCAATGGGGACGGAATAGTGACAGAAAAACAAAATTTTATAGGCGAACTTCTGTTGAAGAGCAGCAACATTGACTGTCCTGAAAACGCTAAGAAACTATTTTTCAGATCAAGGATGTTCTTCTGAATCAAAAAACTGAATACAAGTTTGAAAGGCCAGAAAAATCGTAAATGGAAATGGAGAAAAATTTCGGCTTAGACTAAGTCATTTCCATCTATTGTTATACCGCCAGCTTACTGCAAAAAGATGATAACTCCATTTTTCTACTTTTCGAGTTGCGTACATTTTCACACTTGCATATAGTCGTAGTTAGTACTTAGGATGTTCTGTGAAATAAGGATGAATAAATGTAGTGCAGTATTAACGTCGTGAGCATGTTAATCCTGCCCCACAGAACTTACTAATATATAGGTAATGTAGAAAACTTGTTTTTACAGTAAAGTGACGATGCACGCTCTATTGTGGAGCTAGAAAGCCATTTAAGCTATAGCCTGTGAGATAGGAGTTACAAGGTTGAAATAATCCTATATTTAAATCCGCCATTTTGTTTTGTATAAAGTTTTAATGTAGATTGTGTCACTCGCACCGCTAAGACGAATCCAACTACACCTCATATGTGAAAATCTATCAAGCCGTTTGATCTGTAGCCTATGAAGTAGGAATTACAAGGTTGAAATCTTTTATTAAAATCCACCATTTTGTTTTTGATAAAATTTCAATGTAGCTAGTGTCACTCGCACCGCGAAGATGAATCCAACATCACCTCAAATGTGAAAATCCGTCCAGCCGTTTGGCCTGTAAGTGAAAATATGCACGTTATCCAAATGAGGGTCACTCTCTGCGTGAC